TTCTAATGGAGCGCCGGAGTTGAGAAGGGTTTTTAACCCTCCTGGACCCTTACGCCCGAAACGCGAAATATTAATGATTTCGCCCGAGTTGCGACGCCCGAAATGAGAATAAATCATCGAAACAATGTGATTTCGTATAATAACTGCGGAAAAGTGTTCACACGTATTTGTGGGGCATCAGTTGGTGGAACATCCCCAGCAAAACGAGCGAGGCTGAATACTACCACCACCACGCCGGTGACTACGGAATTTTGCGCATAAATCAATACCTGCGGATAAAATGGTTGCGCATAAGAGTAGTGTGGTTATGTGACTGCACCGCAGCGGTGCAGCAACCTTGAACATGGGCGGCCTTGAACGTGGGTGGTCTTGGGCATGTGACTGCACCGCACCGTCGCCGCAGTGAAGTCAGCGACCTTGGACGTGGGTGGTCTTGAGCGTGAGACGATGTTGGCCTTCGAAGGGCTCTGAAAAGACCTGCAGCTGTTCGCATCGACCCGGACCGTGGGTGGCCTTGAGCGTGCAGTGGAGTGGAACGGATTTCGCTTTGACATTCGGAGGACTGTGTAAACACCAGTCGCCGTTGGTTGGGTGATTCTTGACGTAGAAGTAGGAGGCAACCTATGACTTGTTGATTGGTTAGGGAGGTTCCTTCTCGACGTGGAAGGAGATCGGTTATGAATTGCGGTGTTCGCTTATAATTCAGACAGTTCACGAGCTTCAGAAGCAGCGTTCAGCAACCTTAGTCAGTTCAGTGTGAAAGTATCATCAGTGAAGCAAAATGTACTCTTGTATTACCTGCGGCAAATTGTACACACGTGCTGGTAGTCTGAGGAGACATGAAAAAGGGTCGGGTCATACAGCTGGTACACCTCCAGTGAATCGGGCGAAGGTGGATACTAGTGCGCAGACATCATCAGCTCCGAATCAAAACAATGTGATTTCATGTAATAACTGCGGAAAAGTGTTCACACGTACTGATAGCTTACGTAGACATGAAAAAGGTTCATGTGGGGTGTCAGTTGGTGGTGCATCCCCAGCAAAACGAGTGAGACTGGATACTACCGCTCCCACTCCTGTGACTATGGAAACTTGCGTAACCTGCAATAAATCAATACCTGCAGATGAAATGGTTGCGCATAAGAGATCGCTGGAGCATAGAACCAAGTCCAGTGCGCAGTATTCAGATAATGTCCAACTGATTCATAGCGCTTTGAAATGCAGAATAGCCAGCTATAGAATTGAGTGTAAGAGTCAACTTCCAGCAGATTACAAAACTTTCTTCATCGAATCCAAGAAAACACTTGTATCATTATTGAAAACCACATTAGATGCCCACAATTCACTGAAAGTTAATATGGAGGTATTCGGAAGATATTTTCTACAGACTCAAGATATATACGACACCAAGTCGTTTGCCACCCCAAACCATATTGTATATAAGTCAACCGATTTGGGGGCAATCATCGATACATGCACGGACATTCTCATCAATCGAGCTACCGAATTCGAGGAACGTGATTCTGGTGAGTTGACTGAAATAATGTATATTCCACTATAAACAAAAGCGTTGCTATCAGAGTATCTCTTCGACATTATGCTGTGATGTGGTGTACAGCTATTAGATGTATATCCTTACATAAATTCATTTTCAATTGTATTCTCATCATTTTTTCTTTATTTTAAGGTTGGGTTTTGGAGAAAATTTTATTCCTCGAGTGCAACATCAACAAGTTCAGTCCACTACGAGGCTCTTCATATATGGAGCTGCCCAAGTTTATCCAGAACAAGATGGCGGTGGTGAATGTCCAAAACGAGGACCAGCATTGTTTCGCATGGGCTGTAACGTCAGCATTATATCCAGCAGCAGATCGCAGTCATTTGGTATCTTCATACCCTCATTTCTCCACTGTATTAAACATAACAGGTATAGATTTCCCAGTCAAATTACGCGATATTTCAAAATTTGAGGGCCTCAATGACTGCTCCATCAACGTTTACGGATTAGAAAATATATTCGAGGATAATAAGATGAAGTATGAAATAGTTGGACCTTTACATTATTCTCAGAAGGTGCTCGACAAACATATCAATTTGCTACTCATTACTGATGATGAGAGCGGTAATAGTCATTATTGTTGGATCAAAGATCTATCGAGATTAGTATCTACTCAAATATCTAAAAACAGGAGTAGAAAATATTTTTGCGACGGTTGTTTGATATATTTTTATGATAAGCGCAAATTGATCAATCATCGCTTACATGATTGCAATCATATCTACACCAGAACACCAACAACAGAATTGAAAATTGACAAATTTGGTAGGGAAGTACCTGAAAATATATTGAAATTCGAAAATTTTGAGAGACAGTTGAAGGTGCCGTTTACTATCTACGCAGATTTTGAATCAATTTTGAAACCAATTCTCACCAGTGAACCCGATCCGGAGCATTCTTTTACAAACAAAACATTCGAACACGAACCGTATTCTTTCGCATTCCTTATCAAATGTTCCTTTGATGACTCCGACTTATCGAGGCAAGGATGCTGCAAAAAAGTTGGTCGATAAGTTAGTTAGTGAATTAGAGAACATTTACAATTCATATTTGAAACATGTAGTACCGATGAAAAAATTGACTATTCAGGAAGAGTTGGAATTCTCAAATGCAACAGTGTGTGGTATCTGTAAGAAGCCCTTTGATGATAACGATGTAAAAGTGAGAGACCACTGTCATATGACAGGTGATAAAAGATTTGGGGCCGCGCATTCCGTCTGTAATTTGAATTTTAAGTTCCCGAACTTCATTCGAGTCATATCTCACAACATGAGTGGTTACGACAGTCATATGTTCATAAAACAGTTATTCGCAGATGGTGACAATAGTCAGAAACAGGATGTTATTGCTCAAACTAAGGAGAAATATGTATCATTCAGTGAACATATATTTGTCGATAGTAATATGGGTAAAAACGGTAAAATGAAAAAGGTTTTCTTGAAACTTCGATTTATTGATAGTTTTAGATTCATGGCATCATCCTTGGCCAATTTGGGTAAGATTCTAAGTCGTGACCAGCTCGTTGACACTGCAAAATACTTTCCAGAAATGAATAAATTTGAATTGATGACTCAAAAGGGTGTTTTTCCATATAGTTTTGTTAGTTCTATGGACAAGCTAGATACAGATACCTTACCGAGTGAAGACGATTTTTATGATAACTTGAGGAATGAACATGTTTCAGATGAGGATTATATGAGAGCGGTCCGTGTTTGCAATGTGTTCGAATGTAAAAGTCTTGGAGAGTATTCGGATATATATCTTAAATCAGATGTCTTACTGTTGTGTGATATTTTTGAAAACTTTAGGAATATTTGCTTAAAAGCCTATGATTTAGACCCCGCGCAATACTACACTGCACCTGGCTCATCTTGGGACGCTATGCTCAAGTGCACTCAAGTAGAATTGGAGTTATTAACTGATATTGATAGGATACATTTCTTCAAGAAATGCATACGTGGCGAAATAAGTACTTGCGTTGACCGTAAAGCTGTTGCTAATAACAAATTCCTCCCAAATTTCAAACCTGATAAACCACAATCATTCATTACCTATTTAGATGCAACCAATCTTTACGGTCATAGTATGTCACAACCGCTACCGACAACTGGTTTCTGTTGGCTAACACCTGAAGAAATACAGACATTGGATATCATGAGTGTTCCGGACGATAGCCCAATTGGGTATGTACCTACTTGAGGTTGATGTTCACTATCCTGCAGAACTTCATGATACCCATTCAGATATGCCTTTCTTAGTCGAATCTATCACACCACCGCACTCTAAATCAAAAATTCATAAACTCATACCTAACTTGAACGATAAGAAAAAATACGTCGTTCACTACAAAAACCTAAAACAGGCGATTTACAATGGTTTATTATTAAAGAGAACTCACAGAATACTGAAATCCAATCAGTCACCGTGGTTGAACAAATATATAGATAAAAACACCGTATTGCGAAATAATAGCTCCAATAAGTTTGAAAGTAATCAGTTCAAAATGATGACTAATTCAGTGTATGGTAAGACGATGGAGAATGTGGATAAGAGACGCGACATAAAACTGGTCACTCGTTGGCATAGTATAGGCAGAAGTGCTGGTGCTTGCGCCTTAATATCACGTCCAAATTTTGAAAGTGCTTCCATATTCACCGAGAACTTTCTTGCTATACATATGGGTAGAGTCAAAGTTAATTATAATAAACCATTGTTTTTGGGTTTCTGTATATTGGACATGTCTAAAACCGTTATTTACGACTTTTATTATCAATTTATCAAGGCAAATTTCGGCGATAGAGCATCACTACTCTACACAGACACCGATTCATTGACATTGAAAGTTAGGAGAGATAATTTGTATGCATTTATGGAGGAAAATATTGAGAAATTTGATACTTCTAATTACCCTCAAAATAATAAGTTCAATATGCCTGTAACAAAATCAATTCTTGGGAATATGAAAGATGAGTTCCCCAATGATCCCATAATGAGCTTCTACGGTACAGGGTCTAAAGCTTATTACGTGCAATCTGTTGCGAGCGAGTTGAAAAAAGCGAAAGGAGTTTAATACACGCGGTTGTCCAACAACAATTATACTTAGACGATTACAAGAGCATAGTAGAACAAGGTGGGCTCATATTCCGGAAGATGAATTGTTCCAAAAGTTATCTGCATGATATGTATACGGAGATGAAAAACAAAGTCGATCTTTCACATAATGACGACAAGCGGTTTATAATTCTCAACATCACGAAGACCCTACGTTGGGGGCAAAGTGACATTGAGTTTTATAAATCCGATCCTGAGGATAATGTTAGGTGGTGCAATCAAGTAATAGAGTCGTTCATGAATGAAGATGAAAACAGATTAGATCTACTGATCCGACTATTGAAGGAAGAAATGAATTGAATCATAAACGGGTAAAAAAAATGCCTCCAACATGTCACCACAGATTCAAAATGAAATAATTGAATTAAGTGGGGCAGTTATCAGAGACTATATCATCGCACAAGTGAAGAAGGCTTATGCCTATAGCGTATTGGCAGATGAAAGCAGTGATATTTCTGGGAAGGAACAACTATCAATTGGTGTCCGATTTGTTGACGAGGAACAAATGATAGTCCGCGAGGAACTTTTAGGTTTTGTCGAACTAGTTGCCATGGACGCTAAAACCATTGCTACTGCAATAGACAATTTTATAGAAAATGCAGGTCTCGATCCAGAAAAATGTGTCGGACAAGGATACGATGGATGTTCAACTATGGCAGGAAATGATGGTGGTGTTCAGAAGATTATGCGTGAAAAGTATAAAAAAGCACTATATTTCCATTGTGCTAGCCACAAACTAAACTTAGTCATGAACGATCTAAATCAGATTCTAGTGATAAGGAATGCGATATCCACAGTGAAAGAAATAATAAAATTCTTTCGCGAATCTGTTTTACGTCGAAAGTATGCACCAAATATACCATTATTTTGCGAGATACGCTGGTCTCAAAAATACAAGAGTATTGCCATATTCAGAGAACATTATGTGAGTATTGTCAAAGCCCTTGAAATACTATCGAGGGATGGTAACACTGCGACTAGAAAAGTCGCTTTCCAACTACATTGTACTGCTACAAAGTCCGAATTTATTGTCAGTGTCAGACTTATAGCGAAGTATTCTGCAATACTACAACCTGTGGTGAATGTGGTACAGTCGAAAAGTATTGACATGCTTCAATGTGCAAATCATATAAACAAAATACTTGTTCTCGTGAAAAATCACCGTGAAACGGCAGACATCACAAGCGAAAGTATAATAGCTGAGGCTAAAAAAATCACTGACAATCTGGAAATAGACTTTCAAGGGTCACGGATCGCAGAACGACAAGTGCACCGTTCAAATCCTCCAGCGCAAAATCTTTGCGAATTCTGGAAAAGGTCACTAATAATTCCTTACTTGGATTCATTAATAATTTCTTTAGAGCAGCGATTTTCCGATGATAACATACCTGCCTTCTCACTACTGATTTTGCACCCATTCAATATGTTGGACATGACAGAAGAAGATCTCCTTAGGAAAACACAAATTTTCTCTGATTACTAGTATATCGACGACTATTCCAGTGAATGCGAATTATGGTATAACTTATGGGCAGAAAGAAAAATTGCAAAAGAAGCGTTGAGAGAGATGGAAATAGCAGAATTGGTGAAAGAAACTGAATTTTTTTATCCAGCAACGAAACGGGCTCTGTTTCACTTGCTCAACCATGCACAACATGTACAATTGAGAGGTCATTCAGTACATTGAGAAGAGTGAAAACCTGGTTGAGGTCGACCATGACCGAAAGTCGACTCAGTGGACTTTGCATGTCGAGTGTGCATAGAAAGAGAGTTCTGGAAAAAAAAGAAGATATTTGATGAAGAAATATTGAACAGATTCTGTCAAGACACCCGCAGGCTCGTTTTAAAATAATTTAAATCTAGTAGTTATCATTAGTGTGTATTAGTTTTTCCTTTAGATTTATTTCATTATATTTTGAATATACGTTTGAGGTATGAACTGAATTATTTTCACCATTTCAAAAAATGCCCTACTGCCCCCCCCCCCCCTGATTGAAATTCTGGGTACGCCCATGATGCAAGTAGTAAAGGAATAGCAGGAATTCTATTACAAAAACACGGCGATCACTTCAAGCCAGTTATGTATTACAGCAGAACAACAAATAAAGACGAAAAAATCTATCATTCATACGAGCTGGAAACTCTAGCAGTGGTCGATTCAATAAAACGGTTTAGAGTCTATTTAACTGGGATTCATTTCACGGTTGTTACTGATTGTTCCGCCGTACGTTCAACATTCACGAAACGAGATTTGTTACCTCGTATTGCTCGATGGTGGCATTCAAGACTTCGATTTCGAAGGTCATCATAGACCAGGGGCTAAAATGAAGCATGTTGACGCACTCAGTCGAAATATTGCAAACCCCAATATATTAATGATCGATATAAAGGGTGGGCTATCTATTGGTCCGATTTTGAACAGCCAGTCGATAATGGCGCTGTCAGCTTTAGCGCCATAAGTTGTTGATTCTAGGTTAGTTCTAACCTTCCGCTGAACGAATATGGATCGGTTTTCTTTGGACCAACGCTTTGAAATTCTGAACTTATTTTGAATGTGGTTCTGTCATGAGTGAAACATTGCGAAAATTGCGTACAAAGTTTGGAAGAAATACAGCGCCTACCGCACGTGCAATTCGAAAGTTGGTTCATAAAGTTCGTGAAACTGGGATGCTGGTCGATGCCAGACGTGTGCCGCATACACGTCCGGTACGTACAGCAGAAGCATTCGCTGCTGTGCCCGAAAGTGTTCGTCAAAACCCCAGAACATCGACTCGGCGCAGAAGTCAACAAGTCGGCATTTCACGAACCACTCTAAGGAGGATTTTGCACAAAGACCTTGGTATGTTTGCGTACAAAATCCAACTCGTTCAGGAACTGAAACCGAATGACCTTCCACAACGTTTACGCTTCGCTGAGTGGGCTTCAAATGAGTTGAACGATGACCCAAATTTCGCACGAAAAATCATCTTTTCTGACGAAGCGCATTTTCACCTCGGAGGCTACGTCAACAAACAAAATTGCAGAATTTGGGGAACGGACAATCCACACGTTGTCGTCCAAAAGCCTATGCATCCAGCTCGAGTCACTGTGTGTTCAAATCAATTTCAAGGAAACTGATGGCTCTATTAGCAAGCATTGCTCTAACACCTCGAAACTGGAACTGGGAGTAAAACTGGAACTGGGAGTACCACAGGGCAGTGTTCTAGCACCAATTCTTGTTTCATTGTTTATTGCAGACGTGGTTGAATTCATACCTGAATATAAAATTACACTTTACGCCGATGACTCATCTTTTCTAGTATCACAAGAGTGTAGTGAACAGAATGAAACAGCATGTAATCGTCTTCTCCATAAACTTGGTGAATGGTTTTCGGCGAATCAGTTATTTCTCAACACCAAAAAAACGGAGTATTTGATCTTTCATACTAGACAGGGAATTATTCACAATCCGATCACAATTAAACTAGATGACTTTGAAATCAATAGGAAACAAACAGTAAAGTCTTTAGGAATAACTCTGGAGGATGATCTCAGTTGGAAAGATCATATATCTAATAAAATCGAAATGATAAATACAAAAATATTTCAAATTCGATGTATGCAGAAGGTTGTTGACATTCATTGCATGAGAAATTTTTACTTTGCAGAAATTCAGTCCACTTTACTTTATGGCATTTTACTATGGGGTAATTCTCCAGCGGCACAGCAATTATTCCTAGTACAGAAAAAAGCACTGAGAACCATGAAAAGCGTATCATCCAGACTCTCTTGCAAACCCCTATTTGCTGAGTTGAATATATTACCCCTAGCATGTCTCTATATAATGGAATTAGCATGTTACATTCATAAAATAAGAAACACTCTTCCTAGGCATATGGACATACATTGCTATCAAACCAGATACAACCAGTTTATATATCCAAGTCAAAATAACCTTCAAATATCATCAAGTGGTCAACTGGCATAAGAGTCTATAACATATTACCTGAAGAGATAAAGAATCAATCATCACACTCCAAGTTCCGAAATTCCATTAAACATTTTCTGATGGCAAATCTATTTTATGATATCAATGAACTGTTTATGTGACTGCATTTTTTTTACATTTTTAATTTGTGTGTTGTTTTTACGTAGGTACTTACATTTTAAGGCATTTTATAATTTTATAGATAATTATTTTAAACAAACATGCATTGTATTTTGACCTTGACAAATTCTATACCTAAATTAGGTCTTTTGAATGAATAAAATATTTGATTTTATTTGATTTGGTGCGGATTTTGGAGTGGTGGCGTGATAGGTCCTTTCTTTTTCGAAAATGCGGAAGGGCGCGCCGTGAATATCGATGGTGAACGTTATCGCGACATGATAACTGACTTCTTGTGGCAGGAATTGGAAGATATCGATCTCGATGAATTATGGTTTCAACAAGATGGCGCAACTTGTCATACCGCCGCGCGTAGCATCAACCTTCTGCGCACAAGATTCGACAACTGTGATTAGCCGTTTCGGCGATGTCCACTGGCCTGCTCGCAGCTGCGATTTGACGCCGCTGGACTTTTTTCTGTGGGGTACATTGAAGAGTAAAGTTTATGCCGACAATCCCCAAACAATTGATCACTTGAAACAGAATATGCGTGCCGAAATTGCCCAAATTGACCAGGAAACAGTGAACAAAGTGCTAGAAAATTGGTGTTCCAGGATGGCCTACTGCCGAGCAAGCCGTGGCCAACATTTCAATGAAATCATTTTCCATACTTAATCGGAATAAACACTGTAGCAAATAAAGCGAAATTCGTTGCAAAAAAATCAGCTTTTGTTTATTTAATGATCTACTCAAAATCGGACCAATAGATGGCCCACCCTTTATTATCTTTGGATCATTACAAGAATTGACAGCAGAAATGGATACCTCTGAAAAATATGTAGCCCGTTTATTCGATGAAATGGCTATAATGCCTAGTCTCCATTTCAATGAACATTCTGGCTGCATAGATGGGTTTGAAGATATTGGAGAAAATTCAAGAGGAGGTTCTTTAGCAGATCATGTTTTAGTTTTTATGGTGAGAGGTTTGAAAACACAATGGAAAGCACCTATATCATATCATTTCTCAAGTAAGGGTGGTGCAACAACTTTACAAATAAAACATCTATTAGTCCTTATCATTCAAAGACTTTTAAATATAGGCCTAAAACCAATAACAGTTATATGTGATCAGAACAACACAGGTGCCATAAATAACTCATTTGGAGAGACAAGAGAAAAGTACTTGAGATCTGGAAATATTGGTACCTATAAAATGGGTCCTTTGAAATAGAAGATTTCAGAATTTATCCTGTCTATGACCCACCGCATTTTTTGAAAGGACTCAGAAATAATTTTATCAAAAAAAACTTGTGTTATACCAACGACAATGTTGAGAAAATAGCAAGATGGAAACATATTCAACAACTTTATGAGAGTGATGACGCCGCTGTTGATGGTTTGAAAGTTCTACCACACCTGAGTGATGAACACATTTATGAGAACAAACTGAAGAAAATGAAGGTGAAACATGCTGCCCAGATATTCAGCCAAAGGTTGGCAGCTACACTTCACTTAGTAGAATTGGTAAATGGATAGTGATTTTTGAAACTCTCTATTCTGAATTCTAAAACAAATGTTATCAAGTATGGAAGAGCTGAATAAAACATAATTAGCTTTTGATTATATATTTAACCTTCTTGAAATCTGCAGATACAGAAAGAAGATGTGGAGAAAAACTTGAAGATACTGCAGAACTTTTATATTTCTTTGACCGTTTATTTGATTCAGTGAATGGTTCAAATAACCTTCCTGATCATGTAAAATTTCTACGATGCGGTTTGGCAGATGCAACTAACCATCTTGAATTCTGGAATGATGAAGCTTTAACTCTTCTGGAAACGATGGAATTTCAAAAAAGGATGCCTCGGGAACAAGGAAAACCTCCTAGTTTGAAAAACTGGTCATTCACTTTGAGGAATATCAATGCAATTTGGGTTGTTTTGATAACAGAAGGTTTTTCATATTTATTACCTAGAAGATTGAATCAAGATCCCCTAGAAAATGCATTTGGTCAGTTGAGGAGCTTTGGCGCTCAAAACACCAATCCCACATCCCATCAATTTGTAGGAAATTTCAAAATTCTCCTCTTCAATACCAATTTATCATTTCACAGAAATTCTTTTCAATTGTGAAGATGATAAATGTGATAGTATGTTCATTACTATGAAAAAACTTCTTATTGATCAAGATGATGCCAAAAAAATCACGAAAGATTATACCCTTCATGAATATAAAAAAGTGGCTGATTCTGATGAACATACTTTTAACAATAAATTACATGAGTTAGCCTCAAATTATGTAGCTGGTTATATACTCAAAAAAATCAAGAGAAAGGTAGCCTGTTCTGAGTGTAAAAATTGTATGTTCTCAAGTAACTATGATTCACAACAAAATTCCTTGATTTCAGTGAGAGAATATGGTGGTTGTATCAGAAGATTGTGCTATCCTACAACTTCATTTGTTGTATCATTTCATGATATTTTCAGAATAATAAATAGTCTGGATCCGCAACCATATTCTAAATATTTACTTGATCAAATTGAGAGCATGATAAATAGCAATGTTGATTTTGAATTCTTGACTTGCAACAAAGAGGAACATAAGGTGACTATCATCAATTATTCGTTGGCTGCCATGTGGATCACCGGTGAGCCACAAACATTTATCATCGCCATGCCATGTGGATCACATATGTTACACATACAGAATATATTCGAATGTGAAACAAAAATTCCCGGCTTCCAGATCAAGGGCTGCTATTTTACTGGTGGCCTCCTGATATACTGAGCTTTTTCAAGCCGTATCTGTATGACTGGTTGCATAAGTCTTTAGTGTTCATAGTCGTGTTCATATTTTCGAGTAAATTTTTGCCAGTGTGTCATTATTTTCGCTCGTGGTAAGACGAACGTAGGTACGTTCAGGGTGTTTGTTTTCATTGTTCAAGTTTGTGAATCGTAATGAATGAACCTTCTACAAGTTCTGGACGGCCAAAACGTTCTTGTAAGAATGATGATGTGTGGAAAAGACAATATTTCACAGATCAAGAGTTACAAGAAGAATTGAATAATTCTCTGGATGAATGGGGGGATTTCGAAGAATCACCATCGGAATATAGTTTATCAGAAATGGAGGAGAGTGGGGATGACTCAGACACCAGTCAGGGCAGTGATGTGGATCTTCTGATAAATGACGTGAACGTTGATTCAGATGGCATACCTACAGGAGCAGGAGAACTGGTTCTAAAAGAAGATTGGTATGAAGTAGACTGTACATCGCTCCGTTTTGACATAACGTTCACGGGATCAGAAAAGTATATTTATAATCAAGGAATGTATCCCAATGATATAAGTGATCTTCGTCCGATAGATATCTATCAACGTTTCCTCGATGAAGAAATCCTTGACATAATAGTATCGGAAACAAACAGGAATGCGACTCAGCAGTTGAGGAAACGAAATATTCCCCGATCTGCTAGAATTCATCGGTGGATTCCAACAAATAGAGACGAAATAAAGAAGTTTTTTGGTTTAGTCATGTATATGGGTCTAGTAAAATACCCTAAAATATCAGATTATTGGAGAAAACATCTTCTTTATACAAATGAATATGTTCCGTCTATTATGAGTAGGAATCGATTCCAGCTATTACTGAAACTCATTCACTTCGCCGACAATGAGATAGCAGATGGGAATGATAGACTTCATAAAGTTAGGAACATATTGGGAAAGTTTCAAATGAAATGCTCCAATGAGTCCGTCCCTGGTGAGATTCTAGCTGTTGATGAAACTATGGTTCCATTCCGTGGACGCCTCACATTTCGGCAATATATTCCAAGTAAGCGACATCGCTATGGAATTAAACTTTTCAAACTGTGTGATCCAAAAGGTTATACCTACCGGATTTCTGTCTATACAGGACAAAATTTCAACAATGTGAGCCAGGATAAAGGGCAGAGAAGGTCTTCCTGAATCTAGCAAATGATTACTTGAATAAGGGTAGAACAGTAATCACGGCTAATTTTTATACCTCGATACCTCTTGCGAGATCTCTTCTAGATTCTGGAACACATCTGCTAGGGACCCTTAGAAAGAACAGAAGAGGCCTACCCAAAGAAGTTATGAATGCTGCTCTGAAAAAGGGAGAAATAATAGGGAGGGAGAGCCAGATAGGCATAATAGTTGCGAAATGGAAAGATGAAAGAGACGTTTCATTTTTCAGCACCAGACACGATTTGGAGATGAAAGCTACAGGAAAACGTAACAAAAATGGGGAATACATCAAGAAGCCATCAGCCATAATTGACTATAATGCTGGTGAAGATGGAATAGATGTTTCAGATCAAATGGTCAGTTACTTTTCGCCACTTCGTGAAACTATTAGATGGTATCACAAAGTGGTATTCGAGATGCTCCTGAACACTGCTGTGATCAATTCACTGATCATTTATAAACACTTCAAGCCTAAGAACATACAAGTAAGTGACTTCAGGGAAGAGCTAATAATGAGTTTGACAGGAGCTAAAAATGAACAAGTCAGAGAGAAGAAACACAACCTGATTACAACAGAGGAGAAGACTACGGACGGTAGAAAGATAAGGAGACGGTGTACATCTTGTTATGAGAAGCGTGTGAATGAAGGCGGTAGAGCTTTGGCAGTAAAAAAGCCTAAGTTAGTCTCGACTCTTTGTGATTCATGTAATAAATATATGTGTTTCACTTGTTTCACTGAGAAACATTAGTTTTTATAATTTTTATCTGTAGATACACAATGTATCACCGGTGATACACGTGGCCCATACATGAAAGCAAATAACTGGTGTGCCATGTGGATCACCGGGGATTTTTCACATTTTTTGTGAAAAAAATATATTTTCATTCTTTTTGTATGTCTCCATATCCAATAAAATTATGAAAAATATATTTGCTTGATCACCACAGCTTGGCCCTTGACGAAGCGCTTCAACTATGTTATGGTGGCAGTCAACGTGTTAAATTTGCTGTCAGAACATTGGTACATAACTGGTGTAAACGTGTCAATCAAATTATACAAGGCAAATCCAAATTGTATACTGGATCGAATGAAGTTAAGCTCCAAGCAAATAAAATTCGTTCTGATAGGATTGAGAAAAAAATGCCAAACAACCTGAACATGTTATTGAACAGGGTGTTAAGTATTAATGGTGATTGATAAAAAAAAGTTATGTTATTTAGTTTACATTATTTTCCTTGTTGAAACGTCACCCTGCACTTGATATTTCAAAAAAGTTGTGTTATTCAGTTTCCATATTTTTCCTTGTTGAAACTTCAACCTGCACTTGATATTTCGAGATTTTGTATGTGTGAACATAACTAGGTGTTGTTGAGGTTTAAAACACACTTAAACCATAAAACATATGAATATATTAAAAGTCCTACTGAATCTCAAGTTTTTAAATTTCCCGCTCAATATCCAGATTCAAATTTCCCGCATCCTGTTCAAGGACCTCCCCACCCTCCGATAGTGCCGATACGAATCTTCAGATTACATAAAATATATAAAACAAAATTCCAACTCAATTTCGATCCCGCTCAATATCCAGATTCCAATTTCCCGCATCCCGTTCAAGGATCTCCCCACCCTCCGATAGTACCGATACGAATCTTCAGATGGCGGTTGTTTTCATCTACAGCAGTAAGCATTGCCGTGAACCGTCTATAGGGTGGGTGTGGGGAGATTAGATAATTAAACAGAAGAGTCTCTCCTTTGATACCCTATAAAAAAGTAAACCAATAATAATTATACAAAAACTCAAATTTGCTTCCCATTAGGGTAGGGAACCACCACGCAAAGTCAGGCTGGGAAACATACATTAGACAAAAAGGTTTAGAAGTCGGAAGACTGAAACCAAGTAAGGAGTTTTATAAAACATATGCAGATTGCCAAATGCATAAGTCCACTCGTTAGTGAGTGGGGGTTGATGGACATAGGGATGAGGAGCTATCATATAACGTAAGCTAGTTATTTGGCGGCACTTGATCCTGGGCATTCAACCTTTCGGGAGGCGTGGTGTGTGGGAGATGCCTACTGACGTCCGCCCGGTCGCATGGAGGTAAGTAACACGTGGTATCGCCATTCGGAAGCCCGTTCGCACCCTGTTCGTATTTTTGAATGTAACACACGGGCTGGGCGTCCGTCTGGCGCTATCGAGTGCTACTTTGCGCTTGAAGAGCATACGCAGAAACTCCAAAAATGCACTGATTCATTATTCATTAGTAGTCAGTTTTCTTCGTGCTTTTACAAAAGTAGTATTTATGATGGATTCGTTGTGCTTACCAGATGGCTATTGTTATTTGAAAAAAAAATAATTTGTTGCGTTACAAGTTCAAGAATAAAGGTGAAGTTGATGTAGGTAATATCAATGATAATTCATTATAATGTGAGATTATATCTACAAATTGAATTACTTATAGGATCGTGTTAGAAAATGAGGTTAGTTTTACCAAAGTACAGGTTATGTCGTGCCACCCCTAATCTCTTGGAACTTCCAACCAGCTAAAGAAGCATTATTATTGAAAGTATCACACAAACGCTGAAACTATTTCAATTATTTAGTTTATTGCATAGGTACTTCTTTGAAAAACACGGAATATAAGCCAAGTCATCCACCTACAACTAGAAAGTAGAATAAGATATCAGTGCAGCCACAGCAATAGCAAGAAGATACATTCGAAATATACAGGTATGAAAATATGAAAAAGATTTTGAGGTATGTATCACCAATTTTTATTTTCTCTCCAGGTGTAAATGGAGGAAGAAAAATCCAATTGCACCGCATTCGCTTGACAAATGTGTGAAAAACAATATAGGATTGGGTGATAGAAAAATAGCGAAATAACAATTCGCTTCATTACTGTGGTACTCACATTTCTTTCAAATTTGTAATAATTAAACTTGTTTTCCTAAATATTTATCCTTCATTTCACCCACTTTGAGAAATAAGAAGGCTTCTTTTCCAATATTGGTCTCTGAGGAATTGCCTAAAACTTTTCTGAATTGTTTCGCGAACTGTAAAGTAGCACTTGATAGCGCCAGACGGACGCCTAGCCCGCGTGTTACATTCAAAAATACGAACAGGGTGCGAACGGACTCCCGGTCCAGCACTTCCACTCGTGGTTTTGTGCAATTGTGTAAGTTGTGTTGCCGTTGCCAGTAGCCTGCCGATATTCGACTAGTCACGTCACGATCGCTGTGCTGCGTGTATTGTTTATTTTATTTTGTCGCTACAAATGAAACGAACTTTACTTGATTTCTATAAACCGAAACCGCTAGATGACAAAGAGCGAGAGCCAAAACGATTGAAGGAAACGGAATCAGATGCTATTCCAAGTACATCTGGATCTAATTTGCAGGTAGGCGGAAGGCAGGATAGGCCTCTAGCAGGGACGTAGCAACAGGTGGTGCGAGTGGTGCCGAGCGCCAAGGCTTGGGACCCGAAGGGGCCCGGCAGCTGTTTCGATTGCAAAACAGATTTTTGTCACAAATTTCACCCCACATCAGTTCCTCAGGTTTCATTCAACTAGCAAAACAAACACGACATGACTATGTCATTGTCATAAGAATAAGAATTTAACTTGGAAATTCAAGAATTAAATGATATTCCAGTGAGATTCTTCATTTCTGAGGATATTTTCTCGAATCTGGCAACACTGCCAGCAACTCTCTTAGTTAGATACTCTCCTCTCAGCCCTCTCTGTGTATTGGCGCCGATCGCACTTGAGCGACGCTAGCTGACCCCTTCTTCTGTGATGTGACCGATTCCCCTTTCTCCTGAACTCTCACTCAGAGTGCAGTCGGCTGGCACTCATATTTTGTGTCCGTGGTCGTGGTAATACAATAATGATCGTCCCTGGTTCACTGTTGTAGGCGTAGTAATCATAGTCGGAGTGTCTGTATTAGTGTGTATCATATCATGAGCCAGTACAAGCATTTGTCGGGAGCTGAGAAACGAAAACGGAAAGAAACTGAAAAACGCGAAATAGCAAAGCTTCCCAAGTTGACCATCATGTTGAGAATTCTAATACTGCTGAATCATCAGAACAGGATGAACTTATAAATGACGATAAGTCATGCATCCAGACTCCATCACCTGAACACTCATCAACGTCGATACCCAGCACTTCCAAGTCAGTCATGACGAGTATTGCGGAAGGAGAGGGGGCGAAAGATTCATCGACTTTTGTTTCACGAAAAAAAGCGTCAAACCTCAGGACCGAAAGATGCAATTTCAACAGTATCCTCGACGAATGTTCATTCCACTTTGCCCCACAGGTGTATTTCTGTCTACTTGACTGATTATTAATTGTTTTTTTCACATTTCTCACAGAAGTCTGCAAAAAATGGTTAGGAACTATGTTCGAAAATCCAATCAACATACTTGGGATGAGGACGATATGGTAGATGTTGTGAGAGCAGTAAGATCAAGTCGCTTGAGCTTCGAGGATGCAGCAAATACATACATTATTTCGAAGAGCCAAAAAAGACTGCGATGATGAAGAGGCTTCAACAAAATGTTTAGGAAGATTTTCAAGATGTTTCACATTACAACAAGAAATAGAGCTTGTTGATCATTGTCTATTTATGGAATCCCGATATTTTGGGCTAAGGATTTCTGATTTGAGGCATCTGGCATATCAATTTGCTATGAGAAATGATATAGTCAATCCGTTCAATAATGAGAAAGGAAAGGCTGGAAAAGATTGGGTTTTATCCTTCTTGAAACGAAACAAAGAGCTTTCTCTCCGTACTCCTGAGAAGACCTCTATTGCTAGGGCTACGGCGTTCAACAGACATAATGTTTCAAATTTTTTTGGGTTGCTTATTGAACTGTACGATCGCCATAAATTCACGGCTAGCCAGATTTACAATGTGGACGAAACAGGCATCACTACAGTACCAAATAAACCATCGAAAGTTATCGCTACCAAGGGCAAAAAGCAAGTAGGAACACTAAGTTCTGCAGAAAGAGGGACAACAGTCACTTCAGTTATTTGTTTCAACGCAGCTGGAAGATATGTTCCCCGTTTGATGATATTTCCAAGAGCAAGAGAGAATTTGGCATTATTGGAAGGAACACCGCCCGACACGAAACTTGTATGCCATCCTTCAGGGTGGATGAATACTGAAATATTTTGCCCAACATGGTTCAATCACTTCTTGAGACATACCAAACCAAGTGCCAATCAGCAAATCCTTCTTATTCTGGATGGGCATGCGAGTCACACAAAAAATATTATTTTATTAGAAGAAGCTAGAAGAAATCATGTGCATATTCTTTGTTTACCGCCTCACACCTCTCATCGACTCCAGCCACTCGATGACTCATTCATGTTTCCCCTCAGTACTTTTTATACTCAGGAGTGTGAACTTTGGTTGATAAATCACCCAGGAAGACCTATAACCATAAGACAAGTCGGTCAGTCGTTCGGAAACGCATACCAGAGGGCGTCCACTGCTAAGAATGCCATGAGCGGATTCGAAAAAACAGGAATTTGGCCACTTAATCCTCATATTTTTCTAGAAGAAGCGTATGCATCAAGTGAAACAACCAATAGGTAGCCGACTATTATATTAACGAAAATAGAACGGTGAAAATTTCACAAATACATTTTCTTACAGACCTGCTCCCACAAACAACGAACCGACAACTGACGATGATGACATCCTCCTAGTATTGTTGAAAAGAACTGCTGAACATGAAAATAAAGGAGGAGCTACTCCTTCCTGCAGCAAAGGCGTTGAACTATCAAATAAAGAAGCCCCTTCCTGCTCCTACACCAAAGATGTCGTCTTACATGCAGTTCCATCATGTTCTTCGAAAGTGGTGGTGGAAGCAATTCCTGGTTGCTCTTCGGAATTACTTCCAGCTATCGTTGAGGAAATACCGTCAACTAGCAACAGAATGTGCACTCCTAGTGACATTATACCTGTGCCTCAGATAAAGACGAATCAGGAACGCAAAATATCTAGGAACAGAGGCAAAACTGCAGTGCTCACCTGGAGCCCATATCTTAAGGAACTGAAAGAAAAAAATGATGTGACTCCCAAAAAGTCGATTAAAACTATTGAAAGGAACGTTTTCACACGCAAAAATAAGGATACACCAGAAATGGGACAAAATCAACGCAAAAAGTTGAAAAATGATATGACAAGTTAAGAAAATATAACTAATGATGATGATGACCTTAGATCTTCTTCAGGTGAACCCTGGATATCCTGCAGCCGCTGCAAAGGATGGGCTCATGAAAAATGCACCGCACATGATCGCTCCTCTGATAAACTTTATATATGCGACCTTTGCGAATAAAATTTGTATCATGGAATTTTTTAAACTTGTTTTTATATTGATTGAAGACATATTCCACTTTGCCCCATATAGTGTTCCACTTTTTCCCACCGAAGGGGCAAAGTGGAACAGAATTCAAATTATTTTGAAAAAATCATTTTGACAAAAACCTTGTAACTAGAGATTCCAAATCAATGTCATTTTTCGACAACATCACCATCTTTCGATTGACACTAATTTTGCACCTTTTTTGACAAAGAATGAGATTATGAGCTCAAAAAAATCATTCAGCTTTGCCCCACTCTCCTACCCTTCAGAGGAGACAGAGAATCTATTTATGATGGTGATCATAATCATGGCAATTTTCTAAATGTTATCAAATTATTGTCAATTTATGATCCTGTTCTGAAAGAGCTATTATCAAAGAATAAAAAAACTGTGAAATATTTGTCTCCTTCTATTCAGAACGAAATTATCGACCTCTTAGCCACAGAGGTGAAGACGAAATTGATCAGTCAAATCAATGAATCTCCTTTTTTTTCAATAATAATGGATACCACTCAAGATGTCGCTAAAATCGATCGTCAGTTTTGTAATAAGATTTGTCAGACTGATCAAGGACACCGACAATGTTTCATTTCATTTCATTTCATTTCATTTATTTATGTTAACATACAATTGTATTTACACACGTCAAGCTATAATACATAATTCAATTACTGTTACAAAAAATATAAAAATACATATACTAATACAAAATTTTAGACACTGTACTGAGTACCTTAAAGTTATGTTAAAACTCGTTTCTTATCAGAAGTTGTAGTTTAAAAATTCATCTATTGAATAAAACCTGCGTTGATTGAGTAAACCTCTTATTTCTTTCTTGAAATTATCAAATTCTAAATTTATGATATTGATAGGAATTTTATTGTAAAATTTTACAGCCAAGTACCCAGGGCCGTCTTGACACCTTGTTAGACGTTGATGGACTGGTATTAACCTATTCCTACCTCTTGTCTGAATTTCGTGATTTTCAGCGTGAGTCCTATATAAATTTTTATTTTTGTGAACGTATATCAGGCATTCGGGTATGTATACACATGGCAGAGTCAACACATCAAGCTCGCCAAATACCTCACGGCAGTCATCCATATACCCTAGTCCTGCAATAATTCTCACAGCCTTTCTTTGCAACGCAAATATTCTCTTTGACTGTGGTACGTGCCCCCATACCAATATCGCACTGCACATCACAGAATGGAACATTCCAAAGTAAGCTGTCCTCAATGAAGAAATAGAGACATTACCAGCTAGAGAGCGAAGAGCAAATAAGCCACTCCTTAATTTGCTTGCCACCCCATCAATATGCACACCCCATTGTAGCAGTGGGTCAATCTGTACCCCCAGAAATTTCACACTACTCACGTCACCGTTGGTCACACCCGTGTCCCTAGTTGAGAAGACAATCTTATTTGTTTTTCCGGTGTTGAGTAGAAGTTTGTTGGCACAAAACCAACTCTGGATGTTATTTTGAATATCTACTGTACTCCTTAGAGCCTCTTCTAGTGTATTTGCTGAAATGGCCACCGTCGTATCATCCGCAAATAGTGTGAATTTTGCTCCTGGTTCTATAGATGGCAAGTCATTTATATATATTAAAAACAAGACGGGCCCCAAGACTGAGCCTTGGGGCACCCCGATTGTGACATCCTTAAGTGCCGATGAAACACTATCTACTTTCACAGTTTGTTTTCTATTTGTTAGGTAAGACTTGAGAAAGGAAAAACTATCTGCTGAGAAGTGGTAACTTTTTAGTTTGCGCAAAAGAATTTCATGTGACACACAATCAAACGCCTTACTCAGATCACAGAACAAGGCACTTGTAAATTCTAGATTATTAAAAGCTTCATAAATATATGATACTAGATCCAATATTCCCAATACTGTATTCTTATTTTTCCTAAATCCAAATTGACATTCTGTAAAATACTTATTTTCTTCGAAAAATTTTGTTATTCTGATGGCAGTACATTTTTCTAGTATTTTTGATATTATTGGCAGGAGAGATATAGGTCGGTAATTCTGGGGTAAGTCCAGTTCACCACTTTTATATATAGGTATAACTTGAGCAATTTTTAGAACATCTGGAAAGATATTTTCCCTAAATGCCTGGTTAATTAGTTTTGTGAGAGGATGGATAATATTGTTTTTCACAGATTTGATCAGTTTCACATTGAGTCCGTAGATGTCAGAACTAGGTTTGTTTTTTAAGTTGTCAATGATATCTCTGATTTCAATAACTGAAGCCTCGGAAAATGTGAACATTATACGTGATATCGTTATAAAAGAAGTTTTTCTTGGCTTTGAAGAAAGTATAGGACAATCCGCTTAGAACATGGAAAAACAATTATTATTGTTCTTTGAAAATGATAATTTGAACTTTCAGAAACTACGAGCTCATGATTACGATGGTGCAGCTAACATGAGCGGCATTTACAACGGTCTCCAGGCAAGGATTTTGGACAAACAGCCCAATGCTTTGTATGTACACTGCACAGCACATAACTTTAATCTTGTGATAAATGACACTGTGAAAATTTCTAGAGAATTAAAAAATTTTCATGACCTCGTGGAAAGTCTGTATGCATTTTTTGCACATAGCATAAAACGATGTGCGATACTAACGGAACTGTTTGAATCCAAGAAGCACACATTAAAACGATTGTGTCCCACGCAATGGTCGTCTCGTTATGATTCTCTGCACAGCTTGAGGTTCCATAATCAAGAAACCTTACAAGTTTTGACGAAACCAACCCTAACAAGCTCAAAAGCAATTGAACAAAATGAAATAATTGGATTGAAGACGAAACTCGAACAATTCGAAACAGTTTTGATTATAGTTATGGAATATAAAATCTTGAGCATCACAAAGATTGTTTCCAATGCACTGCAGAGTGAAAATGAAAATAGTCAGAGAGCGTCAGAGCAAACTTCGAAGGAATTGTAAATGAACCAGCTGATTTAGCTCGTGGTTGGGGAATTCATCCGAGTTTTAAGAATCAAAGAGTTCGTAAAGTGAAAAAACATTTTGATGAGTTGTCGTGTGACGAACGACTATCCAATGCCAAAGAGAACTTTCGTGTGTCTGTGTTCAATGTAACGTTGGACGTTATTATATCACAACTCGACAATCGATTCAAAGGGCTGAACAGCGTAGTTCGAAGATTTGAAATACTTTTTCCTTCGGCTTTGAGAGAACGGAGTGATGCTGATTTGGTACTTCTCTCTGAGAAATTGATAAGCTTTCATTCCGATGATTTGGGGAATTCACTTTCACAAGAACTTTTGTCATTCAGGTGCATTTATAAGGATCAGATCAATGACATTTCAAACAATTCGATCGATCACTTGGCGAAATTAGTCATTTGCGATCAACTGATCTCGAGCTCATTCAAAGAAATATGCTGTGCTTTTTTTCTCTTTCTAACAATTCCCGTCTCTGTTGCAAGTTCGGAGAGATCATTTTCAATCTTAAAATTGATTTAAAATTATTTGAGAAGTAAAATGTCGCAAAGCAGACTTTCTAGCTTAGCAATTTTGTCAATACAAAATAAGACAGCCAGGACATTAGATATAAATAAAATGATTTCATTGTTTGCCAATCAAAAAGCAAGAAAAGTTGATTTTTTTCATCATAGATAGTTCGATTAGAATACGTTTTGTATTTGCATTACATCAGTTATTGGTTACATTCTGAGTTTGTTACTATTTGCACAGCCGTCTTCAACTATCAAGCCATGAAGAAGAAACTTGACAACATTGTCCGAACGACCGAACGTTGCAATCTAAAGTGCACCTGTCGGCCATTCAAAGTGTATTGTGTAGGAAGTAACCAAGGAGTTTATGGAAGGTTTTGTTAAAGTTTTCAATTATTAATTGGTGTAATATTGAGATCAAATAATTTTAAAAGAATTAGCAACAATCTAGGAATCGACTCGAGACTGAAAGTGTGTGGCAAGTGCATTCAAAATTGTGTTAAATTGGAGGTTATAGTGAAGTGTACTAGTGCTGGTGTGTTTGCAAGGGAATTTAAGTTGTTTTTTCAATTCACTCCTGGAAATAAGTAAGTAATTCATTATTCCTTATAAAATGCGCCTTCTCATTGTTGTGTGGGGAAATTCACTGAAATATTTGATTCTGATTATTTACGTGAATGTGATGTTGATGAATCTGCTAGAGCCTGAGATAGCGGGGATACAGCCGCCACCATCCAAAGAACAGCGTCGCTACACCCCGCCAACACCTTCACCTTCCCCAACCACCCCAGGCATGGACACTTAGACATCAGGACAGCCGGATCCTCGACGCCTGAACTACCAGACGTCCTGATCATCCGGTCGCCCAGAACATCTAGAACGCCGAGCCACCAGGACGAATGGACGTCGAGGACGCCCCGACGCCGAGGCACGGCCTCAGGGAACCCGGTCGCCTCTCCCAGTCGACCGGAATACCGGAAGCCAGGGTCCACGACGCTCGGACGCTGAAACGACCAGGCGCCCCCCATCATCACCATCCTCAACTCCACCAAGACCACCTTCACCACGAGGAAGCCACATCCCAGGCTCCTTCTCCACAACCCCTTCCAGGCAGAAGCTCACTGGCCCCTAAAAGGCCAGAAAGGATTGAGACACACAGAAGAACCCAATTATACTATTTTATACCATACCATTTGAGCAATTGTACATTGTTGCGATCATGGTTTTCTGCGGTTTCCCATGATTCCCGCCGAATGGGCAACAATTAGAACCAGGGAAATAGGGCCGCAGCCTGTCTTCCCGAACCCACAACAATAGCTAGATCAAATCTTTTTT